GGATTGGTGTCTGTTTTTATTTTTTAGATTTCAGTGGAGTGTTACTATTTCCCATATGTGAGAATAGGAAACTAATCATAGCTGTAAGTGCAATAGAGTCCTATCATAAAACTCCATGAATCTTGGACTAATCACTTTACCAAATGAGCTACAAAGCTGAAATGGAGTACCTTGAAAATACATCTCCCGGAGAACCAAAGATTTTAACTGTCGCTAAAGCTTCTGACCAACGTTCTGTGTTATAAGGATTCTTTATTTCCTTTGAATCCAACTATTAAACCAGCATTCATATGCAGTTTAAATACTAATAAAAACAAAAAGGATAATTCTGAAGAGTGGTGCTTTTCGTAGACTTTCCTTGTTTCTCTTTGCTTTGGTTGATTACTTCTTTGTTCCGACACTTACCCATATTGTACTAGTTCACAGACCAACTTTCTCAAGCCAGATTGACTATTTCCACCGTTAGCAGCTTGGACAAGCTACTTTTTTATGCCTCCATTTCTTCTGTAAAATAAATAATATCTCCTTCATAGGTTTGCAAATTAAATGAGGAAATAACTTGTATATCACTTCGAATGCTGCCCCGTTCATAGTAGGCACCCAAAAGATAATGATGTTAGCAGGTCTCTTGAATCTTCTCACAGAGCTTCTCCCACTTTCTCTAACACCTCTGCTCCCAACCTCCCTGCCACAGACTCTCTCTCCCTATGATTAGATTTTTTCAGTATCAATAGCTTGCTATTTGCTATTGCATAGTCAAATTTTACTTTATTTTAGTAATTTCTTAATTTAATATAATAGTTGCTTTTTTCCACACAGTTTTTGAAGAATGCTTTCAACTTCTGTGCTTTGATTATATTGACAAATTTTTTAATTTCTTTCCCAGGGCAATTTCTAATAAATGAGTTATGTTAGCTGTCTTTAAAATGAAAGAGAAAAGAATAACTATTTAGTTAATGTGCTGAAACTTTAATTATTCATTATGGCTGAATACCTGTCATCCAGGTATATCTTCTAGGACTAATGTTGGCTTTGGTGGTCTGTAGACTGGAACCATTTAACCATATGCATGGCTCTGTGGATGACCCTGTTATAGCTATTAATTTTGAGTACAACATGGTGTGTCTTGTATTAGAAGTCTATACTACATATCAATGTTAACAAAAACCATTTATAAATTCTTGCTTATGACAGGTCTCTAAGATAAGTCTTTAAACAGTTTCTTATTACCGTTAATAGAAGACATGAGATAAAAGGTGTGGCAGCCAGATATTTGATCTACTTAACCTTTTAGTTAAAAACAATGGATATGTGAGCTTTCCTATTGATATTATATCGTCACAACTTTTCTAGATTGTTTTATTGAGCTAATTGTTGTTTTTATGTAAATTTAATTAAGATATATCTCCTACTTGGTAATCTTTTCTTGTTTCTGCTCTGTATCATGTGTACTATTAATGTGTTAAGATGCTAATCTTTGCAAGAAATTTTATTTGTACTTAAGAAAAAAAGAATTTCCTCAGTGAATAAAAGGGTTGTCTTTCTTTTTTTTTAACTTGCTTGGTCTGTGGACCTTTCCCCCATCGTAAGTGCTATGGTTTTGTAGCTCTTAAAATATACACTGACATTATCTAAGAAAGAAGCAGTATTTTTACATGTTTTATTATGTTTGTGTCTTGTATGCTGAGGTCTTTTTTTTTGAGAGAGAGAGAAACACATGTTTGGTGAGTTCATATTTCTTAAAATATACATGATTCTTCTGACTGGAATCTAATGAAATAGGACTCCCATTTGAAAACCAAAGAGTTAAGGTTACCGCAGAGGATAAAAGTGATCAAATGATTAGCCAGGGGCTAATAGAAATTCTGGAAAGAATGACAGATTGTATATTAAAAAGAAATATGATCTCATATTCATTATAGCTTTATACATCTAAAGATCCAAAAGAAATAATTGAAAATTACCAAAAGAAATAGATGGCTGAAGCTTCAGAAATGCATGTAGTATTGGATTAATTCAGGCAAGAAAGACTAATGGACAGATAGTAAATTACGTTATGTAGGGGTTTTGAGGTACTTTTGTCTTTTTTTTTCCTCAAGATATGTTTAAGTAGTTTTAGGCCAGTTTCAGAAAATTCAGTTTATGATTTTCATCATTGTGCCATATGTATATAGTTCTTTGGAATAAATAAAATCTTATAAAGACTCCAAATCCATGAGTGGAAGAGGTTAGTTTAAACCATACTTCTTTTCTGTGCCTAATTGATAGCATTTTTCCTATGAGAATGTAAACGACATAGAACACATTTTCACATACAGTCAATTGTGCTATCCATGACTGTTAGAAAAGAGTTTGCAGAAATGTCTTGAGGGTTTTACTCAACAGTTATACTTATGCTGGTGAAAAAGTAGTCATAAACTAAAATATACATATATGTATGTTTTCATTACAGACAATGATTATTTCACTTCTAAATTTTACTTTGCCATAGTACATGTTATTTTCCTAAAATATTGCGTTTCTGTGCGTGTACAAGTTGTATTGTCTATCTTCATACAAATTTACACACAAACTGGTATGTATGCTTTTTTTCTCTGAAGTTAAGTGGTCACACAGCATTGTAATTGTGGAAAAGTTCAGGTACTTTCAAATATTTTGATGGAGAAATACACATTCTTCTTAATTATTTTAGCCTTTCAATCTAAATTTCCCCAGATTTTTGACATTTAAACTTGGTGTTCGTTTGAATTCTTAGTTTTTGTAGGTCCAAGGAGAAAGTGAAATATTTCCTGAAATATAAATAAATAATAAAATTAATGTGAACACTCTTTATTCTTCATGGATCTTTTCTTGTTGGCTCTTTTCTTTTAATTATGTAGGTTACTAGGAAGTTTTGAAACAGATTATGTTAAAGTCCAGTATTTCACTTCCAGGAAGCAAAGTGGACAGTGTCCTTTCTAGTTCACTCATGCAAGTTTCATGCTCAGTTTATTGGTGTTGCTGGGAGGGCTCTTTTATTTCCATCTACGCAGATTTTCTGTTTCTTGATTTTTGTGTATCTCAGAACTTTCATAGTGACCCACATATACTTTGCCTCTGAGGGAAAAGAGAGTCTTACTCTGTTAAACTAAAGTTCAGATTCCAAACCATCTGGGTTTCTCTGTATTTAAGCATTTAGGTGTAAACTCAAGTATTTACATATAAATGAGTTCTGTATTCTGTAACTGTATTAAAACTTTTCCTGTATTTGATGGAAGATTTATAGAATTTGTTTTATTTATTTATTTGTTTATTTAGATATAGGGTCTTGCTCTGTTACCCAAGCTGGAGCTCAGTGGCATGATCATAGCTCACTATAATCTCAAACTCCTGGGCTTACTCAATCTTCTTGCTTCAGCCTCCCAAGTAGCTAGGACTATACACATGTGCTACCATTCTCAGCTAATTGAATTTTTAAATTCATTTATAGAGAAGTGGTTTCACTGTGTTGCCTGGTCTGGTCTTGAACTCCTGGTGCCAAGTGATCTTTCTGCCTCTGCTTCCCAAACTGCTTCAATTATAGTTGTGAGTCACCTAGCCTGGCCTGAATTGTTTTTGTATAACTACATCAGAATTAGTGCAAGGTGTTCACAACTTTTTTTTTTTTTGAGACAGAGTCTCACTTTGTCATCCTTGGTAGAGTGCTATGACCTCATAACTCATAGCAACTTCAAACTCTTGGGCTTAAGTGATTCCTGAGTAGATGGGACTACAGGCGTCCACCACAATCCCTGGCTATTTTTATAGGCAGGGTCTCACTCTTGCTCAGTCTGGTCTTGACTTTATGAGCCAGACAATCCACCTGCCTTGGCCTCCCAGAGTGTGAGGATTATAGGTGTGAGCCATCACACCCGGTGCATTCACACCTTTATGAAAACCTGGCCCCAACTGATTCTCCTCCCTTGGCCTTGAGAACCTATGTAATTATACAATAAAATTCCTCAAGGCAGGAGAATCAGTTGGCACCAGGTGTTCAAAACTAGCCCAGGCAACGTAGTGAGACCCCCTTCTCTGCAAAAAACTTTTTAAAAATGGAAAACTCACCAGGCATGGTGGCATACACCTGTAGTCCCAGCTACTCTGGAGGCTGAGATGGGAAAGCTGCTTGAACTGTGGTTGCACCACTGCACTCCAGCCTGGTACACAGAGCAGGAATCTATCTATCTCTATCAAATGAAAAAAAGAATTAAAACATAATTAAATTGCTATAAAAGCTAGTTATTTCTTAGATCCTCTCAGATAAAATGTGAAAAATAATGCTAGCTTCAGGTCTGATTATCTAATACAAATGAGCTCTGTTAATGAAATAGAATAAAAGTTGGAAGTTTTGTTCCTTCAATGTGCTTAATAGTTTCCATAGAATCTTTTCTAATCTTTTTTAAAGAGAACAATTTTAGACGTAATTCATTGTGCATTCTGTTTTATATACATATATGTCTATACATACATGTATATAATTATATATGTTCTTAACGTGGGTAGCAGAGAGTGGAAGAGAGAGGGAATGAGACCTCTGAGGTGTGGAGATATGGGGACACATCTCTTTAGTAAGAAAACAGGTAATCAGAGTCATTAGCCAGGCTTGTTAAACTTCTATTTCTGTGTCCATTGTTACTAAACTAACCGTTAGCCTTGGACAGGGGTGATAATGCATAGGGATTTTTTCTAAGACTTCAAATAGAATTTCATTTATAAATGACCTATAATAAAGACCCTTTTTCTTGCCTAAATAGTTTGCTTAAAACGTAAGCAAAGGATACTTAGTGAATTTATCAGTCTTCTTTACAAAGTTACTTATCTGCATTCCTGGTACACATATATATTTTGGGGGGATAATAGATTATTAGTTAATCTTCTATATTTCTTCATATCTCTAAATAAACATCTGTATTCCTGGATAGTTTATTCTTTAAATGTTTAAAAGTTACAGAATTCTAATAGAAATCATCTTCTTTTTGCAGCTATGTCATCTTATCTTTTAATTATTAAAAGAGAGCTTCCTGCTGCTATCTCAGAATTTCTAACTGGGGACTACACTGGGTAAGAAAAAATATTTCACGTTGTATCCATTCATCTATCAATTCAATAAATATTTATTAAGCTTTAGTGGCAAGTAAAACGAATGTAGTCCTTGCCCTCAAGACACTTACAACTTCGGCAGGGGTGGAGAAGTAAGAGAGCAGAAAACTGCAGACGTTTTCTGATGACCCTGTACACAGAGCACTGTGAACCGTGGGGAGCAGCAGGTATAATTCCTACATTCCTTGGAGGCATGAGATAGGCTAAGACTGATCTGAGATAGCTAATGGAGAAAAGAAAGGAGACATTTCTGGGGATATAAAAGATTGCGCTGGGCAGGAGATGGGGTAAGGCAAATGGCAGTGATAGTAAAGGTCTTAGAGGAACAGGGTGGATAGTATTGCTGTCACTTCCCAGCTAATCATAGTGATAAAGAATGTGGCAATTACAGCCAACCATGTGAGATTCTTATTATACAGTATGGTTAAAAAAAAAAAGTATTTGCAAGGGCTTAATTCTTTAGTTTCTATATTTTAACAATATTATAAATAATTCTAAACCACACTGTATCTCCTTTTTCTTTTATAAAAAATAATGGGTTTAAAGACTTCACTTCACCTTTTATGGAGGGAAAAATTGTGCTCTTTTCTTTCACTATGTAGAACAAGAAAATTTTAGAGAATGGACTTGAAAATGTAGAATGAATCATTTTAATTGTCATTGAATTATTTCACAGTTTTCAAACCACAGCACAAAACCTATCAGACTTGGAATATTTGGTTGTTTTGCTTCAATAATGGAACTTGTTCTGGAATGCTGGGAACGTTTTAGAAATTCAGTTTTTTGATTTGACACCTTGGCTTCCATTGAAGAATTCTCCCTGGACAAGTACAAATACATATTTGTAAGGAAAGTATGGTTAACTTTAGAATAGAAACCATCGGGAAAATGTGATTGAAAAATGATAGGTAGACATTCTTAATGATTTTTTATCACCAGAAGATAATGTTTCTTTTTAGAGTACTTCATGGTTTACAGGTTTTCCACATTCATTCCAATCTAATACTCACAGCCACCTTGTTTTATCTATATATAACTTTATCTGGTTACATTTTGATTTTATGCTCTCAGTTGATAAGTACTTGCTGTAAGAAATAACTATATGAAATTCACTTTTGTATTTGCTGTGAAAAACACAGCTTCTGTTACTCAAATTCTATGTGAAAAAATACATTTTATTATTTAGAGTTAAGAGCTCAAGGCAGTATGAAGTAAAATAAAGGATGCTAGACTAAGAGTAAGGAGATGTGTTCTAGCCATTTCACATTCAGTCACCTCAGGAATCTAATTTAACTTCTTCTGACCGTATGACTTAAATTTGTACCTTATGAGTTTTTTAACCTGGTATAATAGATTTACATGTATTGCCTTGTTAACAAAGCTTTTGGGATGACCAAATAAGATACTACACATCCAAATGCTCCTGTAAGCTGATAGCACATTGTAAATGTGGAAAATTAAGAAATGACAAATGACTTGAGTAAAGGTGGTGTTTCTCTTTTTGATCCAACTGCCAGGAAGCTCAGAGTAAAATTTCAATGTTTTGCATAAACTGTATTAATTCTAATAATGGTCTCATATGTTTTCCTTTTTCTTGGTCCTGAATTTGGTGACATTTATTTACATTTTTTACTGTCACATGTCTTTGTGGAAAAAAGAGGGATATAAATACATGAAAATTTTTAGAAATAATTAAAGTAATATGTGGCAGAACTGGTCTTGAAACTGAGATCTTCTTTCTGTAAAAGGGATAATTTAACACAGCTTCATTTAAAATCATTTACCGTTTACATTGTTCAGCGTTTTTTCTGTTTCTTTAAAACAAAAATTAGAATAAACTTCCATCTCATATTAGGAGAAATTGATTATAATATTATTTTTATGTATCAGTAATTTTAAATTGTTAACTGTGGCCAGTTTGTATATTCTTAGTTACGACATTTTAAAATTGTGCATCTTTTTAACAACCTCATGTTATTCTAAATGTAATGTGAAGAAGAGCCTCTGTGTTTTGTGAAGCAACTTTGTTGCCTTCAGAGATTCCTATAAGCTGAATATTAGTTTTCTTCGAATTATCCCAGAGCTCTCTGAGAGAGTGATCCATTTTTGTTCTCCATTTCTCTTCATCTTTGAGTGCTTGGGCTCGTTCAAAAGCTTTTGTCTTCAGTGTCAGAGATCCTTTCTTCTGCCTGCTCCATTCTGTTACCAAGGGATTCTACTGTATTTTTCAGATCTTTGAGGGCTACAACCTCTTGCCTCAGTGTGTCATAATCTTTGGTCATTTTATCTTTGAAATCATTGAATTCTTGAGACAGCTTTTGAATAATTTGAAATTCTAATTCCCTCCTTCCCTCCATTCTGTTAATCTTATTTGCTATCCAGATTCTGAACTCAGTTTCTGAATTCTCAGCCATCTGTTTGTGAATGGGATCTTCAATTGCATCTGCCCCATCCTTCCTTGGGAGAGTTGATCTACTCTGGTTGTTCTGGTTATCAGAGTTTGTCTGCTGATTCCACCCCATGCTGAATTTGCACCATTTGAAGACCGTTCCAAAACTGTTCCACCAGTGGCTATCACCGGAGAAGAGGCCAGCTTCCTCTGGTTGCCCAGAGAGATAGGGCATGTCTGTGCGGAAAAGCCTCAGGGGTGTGAGCCTTATTGTTCTAGCTGCTGCGGCTGCTGCTCTTTACCTCGGGGTACTGCCACTCCAGTGTGGTTCCCTCTCAACTGACCATCCTCTCACAGCTCTTGGGCCCCGGGCCGGGGGTGCTGGGAACACGCGGCTTGATCAGTCCTTGGGGCAGCCCACAAGGGAGCCCACAGCAGCATGGAGCACTAGCAGCTGTGCGCCAAGAGATTCTGAAATTCAGATAGCAGACAGTTTCAGAACCCCAGCACAACTCAACCCAAACAAGACATCTCCCAGGCACATCATAATTAACTTCACTAAAGTTAATATGAAAGAGAAAATTCTGAAAGCAACTAGATGTAAGAAAACTATAACCTACAAGGGGAAGAATATTATAATGACTGCAGATCTCTCTGCTGAAACCTTTCAGGCTAGAAGAGGATGGTCACTGACTTTTAATCTCCTAAAACAAAATAACTTTCAGCCTAAGATCCTGTAACCAGCTAAACTGAGTTTCATTTCTGCTGGAGAAATTAAATACTTTAATGACATTCACATGTTGAAGAAATTTGCTGTAACTAAACCAGCCCTCAAGGATATTCTCAGACCTCTCCTCCATAATGACCAGTGCAGTCCTCCACCATATAAGTAAACTCACACAGAAAATTTTGATCAAACTCCAACTTCCACAGTGGCGAAAGGATTAAAGATGTCCAGGGGACTTTCGAAAATTTCGATACCCAAAATTATACCAGGCTTATCAACACTCTCAATCAATGTGAATGTCTTAAATTGCCCTCTAAAGAGACTCAGGCTGGCTGACTGGATATATAGACTCAGGGTGAAGGGATGGTCATCTATATTCCAAGCAAATGGAAAGCAGAAAAATGCAGGTGTTGCAATTTTATTCACAGATACAATAGGCTTTAAACCATCAAAAGTAAGCAAGGATAAGGATGGTCACTTTATAATTGTTAAGGGTCATACTCAATACAATGAGATCTCAATTATTAATATTTATACACCAACCAGAATGCACCTGAATTTATAAGAGGTACTCTAATAGGCATGAGCAACTTGATTTCTCCCAGCTCCATCATAGTCAGAGATTTTAATACTCCTTTGGCAGTGTTGGATAGATCTCCAACAAGAAGCTTAGCAAAGAAATTTTAGACTTAAACTTAACCATTCAGCATTTGGATTTAACAGGCATCTACAGAATATTTCGTCCTAACAAATCTGAATACACATTTTTCTCATCAGCCCACGGAACATACTCCAAAATCGACCACATCTTAGGTCACAAGTCTAACCTCAGCAAATTTAAAAGCATAGAGATTATTCCTTGCATCTTCTCAGACCATCATGGAATAAAAGTTGAACTCAGTAACAACAGGACTCTGCAGACTCATACAAAAACATAGAAACTAAATAACCTTATGCTGAATGATGAGTGGGTCAGAGACGAGATCAAGAAGGAAATTACCAAATTTTTGGAACAAAATGATAATGAAGATACGAGTTATCAGAACCTCTGGGATACTGCAAAGGCAGTCCTAAGAGGGAAATTTATAGCACTGCAAGCCTTCCTCAAGAAAACAGAAAGAGAAGAAGTTAACAACTTAATGGGACATCTCAAGCAACTGGAAAAGGAAGAACACT